GGCTGTGGAGTCTCCTTCTCTGGAGACATTCAAAACCTGCCTGGATGCATTCCTGTGTGATCTACTCTGGGTGGTCCTGCTCTGGCAGGGGGCCTGGACTAGATGATCTTTCGAGGTCCCTTCCAACCCCTAACATTCTGTGATTCTGTGATTCTTTGATTCTGTGATTCTGTGAAGTGCAGGTACCCACTCCAGTACCTGTCCTGGGAAGCATGCGTTCATTATGTGGCTAAATTAACCTTCAGATGGTTTAAAGCTTATTTCTGTTTGATTGATACTTTTACAATTTTCTTCTTCATAATAATTAATTCTTGAAAAACATAGCTATAGGTTTAATCTGTATCTATGTATATATATAGAAGCCAAAATGGTTTGATGGCTACTAGTACATAAATGGTTCTGCACCTCTGGTCCATGTACCCCTTCAAAGAATCATATTAGACCCAAACAAAGCTCCTGATAATGAAGATGCCTGACACATGGAGTTGCACAGGGGACAAGACATGCAGCTAGCTTACTTAAAAAGTGAAGCTTCCTTCTGACACTGGTAGGGGAAATTAATGTATCTCAAAATTGAACATTCTTCATTTTGACATAAATTTTCTTTACCATTTTTCGATAGTATTTATTGCAGTTCTGGATAAGCAAGGTAAATAACAAAACATACAGTGCCTGTGTGTATCAACTGAATGCAGGAAGTCTTCTTCCAGGCTTTCGTCTAAAATACAAAAGCCAGTGGGCGTATTCTGTCTATAAGGAAGTTGCAAGTCCTTTATTCATGTTAGCAGAAAAAGCCCTGATGGGAGCCCAGGGAATTTCCACTTACAAGCAGCAGCGTCACTGGAGTCGGTGGATTTATGTTAATCTTTGATAAAATTACAGGTCAGATCAGCAGCATCACTAGTGATTTCATAACCAAACGTGTGCTTAAATCTGTCCTATAATTTAGATGTTGAGCTAAGAAAAACTTAAGGATCTCAAAGAGTATAAAAGGGTGTATTTGCCAACAGAAACGAAGTGCTGATCAAAGGCAAATGAGATCAGCACCAAATCTGGGTCGTTCCTGGGTCTAACGCAGGCAGTAAGAAAACCTGAGTGTCTGGGGAGCAGCCTTGCTAACACCGTGGCTCAGCTTTACTGAAGAGATTAGGCAATGCTTTGTCAAACCAAAATGCTTTCTGCACAGGGCAGCGTATGTTTGCTGCACAGGAACTGAGGTTGGGCTCCCCCTGCTCACTCTTCCTCTTTTCTGGCACAAGGGAATGGGGATTTGGTGCTGGCTGACTCGCATGTGAACAGCATTTCCAAAGGAACTGGGCAATAGACTTGCGGAAGATGCTCTCTCTAACAAAACTGCTGCCTCAAGCATCAGCTGCTGACCTTTGCCACAGTCAAGGAGCAAGGAAACCCTGTGAATAAGACCTGTTTCTAAAGCATGTAGGCGTCTCTGTGCATGTCTGGCTGTCACGGAGGAAAGTGGTTCTCACTTAAATCACTTGTGGCAGAATCCTGATTTAGGACCCTGCTTGCCACAGAATGAGTGGAGTGGACTTCACTCAGAATAGGAAAGCAGCAATATATTTTGTTGAGGTAGAATGAAAATTTGACAGTTTAATGAATTTGATGTAATTTAGCAAAGTCTACAGAGATTTATCAGGGTTCAATTTTGATCAATATTAGCAAAAATTATTTTAATATGAATTATGATTTAATATGAATTTATAAAAGTGTGACCACAAAGTTCGATGGCAAGGTTCACTCTTATTACTTACTATGTGGGAGAAAATATACAAAGGTAAATTGACTTGGGGTTGAGCTAGAATGGTTGTGAAAGAAATATACAGAGAAAAATTGACTTGGAGTTCGGCTGGAACGATTTTAAACAGGGATTGGGAGTGAAAGGAGTAAAGTAAGCCTTCCCGTTGAGTCATGAGGTTCAGAGTGGTCCCCCTTGCTCTCTAAACTCCTTCTCAGAGAGGAGTCTAGGTGTGGCTAGATCCACCCTTAGTCCCGGACAACAGATTATGTCTAAGGAGATAGATAAAGGAGACCCTCCCATTGGGTCACGAGGTTCAGAATGGACCCCCTCTAAACTCCTCTAAACTCCTTTAGAGAGTGTGACTGGATCCATCCTTAGTCCAAGACTTGGTCAACAGTTTATGACTAAGGGGATTTGGGTACAGGGATTTTAGTGCAGTGCTTTTAACATAATATTGTGAGTCCTACATAACTTTAAGATAGCAGTAGAACTATATATATATTGCAATGCTTAATTAGTCAACAATCAGTTATACTCAATGCAGTGATTTAGATAAGGAGTCAAAAAAGTTTCTAAACAAGTCACACACACACACACATATACATATATATACACAGTTATAGAGGCTAGCCTATGATTAAGATGTTTCCCTTTCTGCAGATTATAATTATGGTGAATTACGTTTTCCCTTCATCAGCTTTTACAAGCAGATGGTTTTCCACTTTCTGCCTTTGTGGTAGGATGGTTTATCCTTTGTCTCCCTTTACAGGTGGACAGTCAGAGTCTGGCCTGAGAGTCACCCCAGCTCCGGGGGAGATGCCAAGACACAGCCCGCTGCAATCCTGGAGAGCTCCAAGGGGCCTCACTTGGGATCGGTATTTACAGGGTCACAAGATGATTGGCTTTGGTCAGTACTATTTCATTGTAGCCATTATTCTCGACAGGCAATCTTCAAAGTGGGCGATGATCCAGGCAGGAGGAGGTTGGGGTACGTTTCCCAGGCAACAGGGGTTCCAGGTGCAGTTAGGGAGTGTGTAACCGCCCCAGCTTGCTGCACTCGCACCCAGGACGGGAAGGTACTGTAATACTTCCAACCCCCTGCCTCCTTACACAAGGTCAGAAAGTAGCACGTTGCCCCAGCCCACTCCACTTTGTAATTAAACAAGAACGTAATGGCTGGTGCCGACATCGCAGTGCAGCCCAAGGGGTGGGGGTCTGCACCACCACACTGGCCTAAGTATTTTGCTTTTCTAACCAAGGTGGCCAATGGCTAAAAGTGCTGGTTTGTCACCTCTAGTCAGGTGCCTAAACTTCCCTGAAAAGGTAAAGGGCTCATTCAGCATTAATTTAAAGCTCTTTGGTGGACCTAGAGAGGGTGAGCAAGAACCCTGCGCTTTACAGCCTTCTCGACAAAAGCGGGCAGGGCTTACACGTGCACAAAGGCCACATTGGGGCTGGGCGTGCTCGCTCAGGGAGACTGAGTAAAAGCTGGTAGCTAGAGCAAACATCATGCAGATTTATAGCAGGCTCAGTCGTTTCCCTGGAGAAGTCAGAGCAAGCCTTTGGGTCATGTTTTGTGCGTGCATATAGGGAAAAGGAAAGTTTCTGAGACACTGTGTTTGCTGGACATTCCCGCGGGAGCTTTGGCTGTTGCTGCCGAGTCTCCACAAGCTGACCAACAGTGAAAAGCAGTGGAGGCACAGCCTGGGTTGGTCGGTGGGAACCTACCCAGGTCACTGCTCACTAACAGCAGGGAGTGGGGACTTTGAGGGTTTCACCCTTCCCTAAGCATTAATTCTCAAGCTGGAGCCTCACCTGACAGTCTCCCACCAAGCTCCATGGTCCCTGTGCCCAGCCTGTCTCTTCGTTATCTCTCCGGTTTCCTAAGCCTCAACCCCTCAACCCTGAAGTCCCTCTCTCTCTAGCCAATGATGTTAGAATCCCTCCATGTATTCAGGAGCTTCTG